ACTACCAAAACAGATGTAAACTACAGAATTTGGTTCCTTGGAATTAAGCCATTCCAAGCATTCGTGTTCATCAATGGCGGATTATTTTCCTCTATGTCCTTTATAATCTTCTCCTCCTTTATTGCATAGCAAAAGTGGGCCTATATGCCATGCATTTCTTCTCAATACTTTCCTGTAATGATCGGCATAATCAGGTTCCAGCTCGTAGAAGCTGTTAAAAAGAACTCCATAGCTTCTGACCTCTGATTCTTTTACTTTGGTTAACAATTTTGTCAGTTCATTTTCAATTTCTTCTCGATAAAAATTAGGCACCTGTGTTCTTGTAAACTTCAGCTGATGTGGAAGGTTGGGCAACACGAACTCCTCCAAATCCGAGGATACATTCTTGTAAGGCTTGTAGATCCTCATATGTTCTGAAGCACAGAAAGCCAAAAAACTTGTTCCATGGAAAACCAATCTTGGGATATCAAATTTCGCTGCTGCATCATTAGCCCAGGGAAAGAGCATGTCTGCAACAAGACAATCTGGACGGAATTCTTCCAGAAGTTTTTCAAGGGGTTCTTGAAGCAGATCCATGGATTTTAAGAACATGGGAAGCATATCATCTGATATTTGATCACTCGTGATTCCATGAGGCAATCCGGATTCTTCCGGTGGAAATTTCATCACATGAATCCCAATATTGAATCCAGATTTCCTGGCCCTTTCAACTGGTTCTACAAATCCAGGAGTGACAATCATAGTTGTCAGAACAGAACACCCCGAGAAGTGAAAAGCTTGGCCGTTTCTAGGGTTGGAATCATATGGCCATAAGCCAAATAAGGTAAAAAGAAAACATGTAGCTGATTCATTGCAAAAACTTATGAAACAGATTTTGAGATTTCTTAATTGGGGTGACACAACTGAATCTGATAATGAGTACTGCAAGATAAATATACAAACTGTGTGTGTATATACGGAACTTTGAATTTTCCAAGAAAATAACACCTTGAAATTGGCTAATTCATCTTGTAGAACAAGAACTATGTTATAGACATAGGAAAGAGAAAGTCAACCTTACCCATATTTGGCTCAGCTAGAAAGTTGATTAATATCTAAGTATAAAATCAACGATTAATTTTTAACTAGAATCCCCTACTTATCATCAAAGTTTATTAAAATTTATTGAAAATCTTATTTTTATCTAAACTAAACACGGATTTCTAAAATTTACCATTTGATTTCGATTTTCAAGCTCATGACATGATACATAAGTAGAAAAGAGACGTGTTAGACAGGAGAAAATTAGATCGGTTTTGCGATTCGTTTAGGTTGGGCCCCGTCACTTCTAGCAAAACTCATGATCTGATATCAAGATGTATTATTTTGTCAAAAGGTTGTATAATCAAGTTAGGTAAGAACATTGAATAATTCAACCTAGGTATTTTATTATATTAAAAAAGAAAGAAAACGATATTTACTCTTCCTTAAATTTGATGTAAAAGTTAAATTATACAAATTATATTCACAAAAAGTCTAATTAAATAAATCAAACAGAATCGTTTGGCAAACTTTAAATTTGTTGAAGACCTCGTCGAGATAAATATAAATTCAAATAATAAAATTTGCCTTTTATATGGACTGCTTTTAACTTTATCTTGAAAATATTGTCATATTTTAGGAGATCCATTATTGTTGACGCGTTATTTGTCGTCAATGGGATATCTGTCAAACAATTTGGTCAAATTCTTCTATTAATATAACATTTTCCCTGAAGACTTTGCTACGTATACATCAAACTTTACATAATGGGTTATATAATGTCACATGTCACGCTATTATTTGCCACCTTAAAACACAATGAACTTTTTCATCAAACTTTCTCCCTCCACTTTATTTTATATAATCCAATATGTACATTTTTTATGTATAAGTAGTATAATCCTTTTCATAGAAAGATGACCTAATAAAAGGTAAAATTGCAGCTGTTGTCCCAAACTTTTCGTCTTGGCAATTTTATCACCAAACATTTTCCCGTCAGCATCAGTATCCTCAATGTTTCATTTATTGGCAGACAACTTCCTTATTAACAGAATCTGTTCAAAATGTACATTTATTTTTTTTAAGAAAAAGACATATTTACCCTTCACATTAAATGAACAAAAACTGTAACATATTTTACTCATTTCAATCTTAAGAAGTCTGTATTATTAAAAATCTATATAAAAAAAGGTAAAATGATCACCAAAATATTGAAAGAAACCTGAAAGATTTTGATTCCTCATCCAATAAGGAAATTGCCGAATTCCGTGAATTTCTTTCTACCGGACAATGTTGCGACCGCATTAGTCTTTTGCATGCGGTCGCATAGCTCTGTTTCTGGCCTCCATCCATTTTCGTAGAAGGTTCTGTGTGACCGCAGGCTTGAGATAACCATGCAGTCGCATGGTTCGGCCCTAGACCTGTTTCGCCAATTGTTTGCACCCAAGCTGCTCCACCTTATTTTGCCTTCGTTTCCTAGCTGCTCAACTTGGTTTCTACAAGCTAAATTGTTCCGATTTATTCCAACCTTCGTCCCGATCATATAACCTACTCCTTGGCCTGCTACTTTCATCATGCAAACCATGTTCCTCCGTCCCGTTTTGAAAACTGAGAAACTGGGTCATTCATTAAATTCCAGTTTCTGCCACTATTTTTAAAATTTTACTACGATTTGTAAAAATTGAATTTTTGCTTATCTCAAGTTGGAAAATAATCTCTTATGAGCTATTTATCATATGCAATTGAAACTTTGTCAATAGGAATCCCATAGAATTTTTCGTAGCATTTTATAGATCTCTTCTCCAGTCGAAAAAATAGAAAATCAAAATACAAACAACTGATAATGGGAATTAAGCATTACACATCTGTTGCATGGAATTCAAACGAAACTTGAAATATATTTCTTCCAACAGTTAATCCAGTGCTTGGCTTCCTGTTGTGATGCAAATTACAGCCTTTCTCTATAAAATTAACAAAAATTTAATATCAGCATATCAGTAAGACACCATTAAGGGAATTATGTTGCTTAAGATTCAACAAAAGTTGAAATAAATTAGCTCTTACTAAAATTAGATGTAATCACTCAATTATTAACTTTGA